ATAATAGTATAAAGTCTGGTTGGGGCTCTATTACCGTATCTTGGGGGACGGTCCCCAAATCCAAGAGACCATTAATAGGGCACCCCCCATATTAGGCCAATGTGTGTAACACAGGGTTTCTAATGGAGAATAGGACTCACAGACTTGTGGGCAATATCTGTATTTTCGTTGCAATAACTCAATGCCAAGCATTGGTGTTGAGTTTATACATTATAGGCATTGTGACACAATGCAATGAGGTTATTATACACAATGACGAATTGGCTTATACCTTATACATTCCTCCATGCATTATCTTCATTGCCTAATACTTCAAGTTGTACTTTAATGGCATATTACAATCTGATTTGGTAGGGAGATAAATCGGATCAAGCCTATACGACATGTTAGCAATGGCGCTACTAGATGATTGGAAATGGCGACCTGGGCGTCAGTAGATGGTATTAGTAGCATAATTTGGGTGTTAGGCATAACCTCTACAATGATTGCGGAGATGCCAACATATGACTTTTTTCCTTTTAATTTTAGATACTTACTGCACGTTGAATATTCGCTAGAATTTTTGGACAAGCTTTAGAGATTGTGGACCATCTTTGGCTTATGTCAATCGAGGTAATTGCATAATTGATGTCCTAACCCCGTTGGCCTCGACCCTCACCCCTCTGCATGCCCCGGTGCTAGGCTTGAGTAAATGGAACTTTGCGTCATGTCTCTATAACAATGTGTCTTTGATGACGATCACTATCACTATTAGGCCGTCATACTTGAATGGCAAAGATTTTTCTGAAGCCATATGTAGATATGACCATCAACCATGAATTGTGAGGAAATCATGACATGAAATACACGCAAAGGCATTTGTGCACCAATACACCATGTTTACAGAGCTGACACTATACACATAAAGTGTAAGTTGGTTGCGTTCAAAATCTAGAAATAGGCAACAATACACTTCCCACTACATGCACAGCCATACAGGTGGTGGTAAGTGAAGTCCCACAGGCAGATTTATCACCCTCGGCTTATAAATAGCAACGCCTTCCAAAATAGATATTACCATATGCATATAAACAGGATATTGGTTAGACATACACACAAATTCACATTGGACCCCAATCTAATGTTTCCACCATACCAAACCCCAGTTCAATATAGTATATGACATGGCATTACATATACCATACAGTTCTATATGTCCAAAACCATTGTACCTCAGCTAGCACAGGTCAATAACTAAGAAACCTAGCATTCAGGTTCCTATGAGGTCAAAAGCCAGAACTAGCCTAGTCATTATCGAAGCACACGATCGTGAACCGCCGCACACACCTACCTTCCCTGACTAATCAGAACCAGTCTTTAGCGAGCCCCCAACCAAAGTAGTGGCTTCACCATATCCATGCAAGATGGACCAAACGCCCCAAGCACGAATCACAGGCAGTCAGACTTCTGCTCGGGTTTGCTGAAGCTCACAAAAGGCACACACAACAGACAAATTGCAAGTCACTAGTTGCAAATGGCTCGGGCTTGCTCGACAATGATACACCACCCATTGATCAACCCATCGACTAAATAACCTAAAACTTGTTGTGTCCCCTTTCCACTCATACAAAACCTCCACCTGCATCCCTACTTGGAATTCCACCACTAAGGTCCCGCTCCTCCTGTGTTTTGCCCAATCAAATTACACCGACGCGGACTATATCTTCACACCAAGAACTCCACCTACTAAACTTACACTATATCACCAATCTTGTCCCGTGTCTGCTGACTCTCACTCCGACTCAGAGCTACTCTTCCCATCCAAAGGTCCGACGGCAACCTCTCAGTGAAGCAGCCTTGCGCCCATTTGTTCCATGCAGTCAACATGCCCATCATCCTACAGAACCCATGCTTGTGTGTAGCTCCTGCTTGCACCCTCCGTAGCCCATGCTATTCCAGTCTGCCATGATACATCAAACCGTACCCCAACTGAATCTCTGATTGTGCTTCAGTCTGGCGGGGTACCATGAAGCAGACAAGTGGTGCGCCCTTCACCGTGAGTTACGTCATGATAGCTTCTTGGAGTTCTTGGATTGGCATACCCAACACCATCCATATGGCCTCTCGTTGCCTCTCGCAGTGCGCCGCAACTTATGCCATTTCGTCGTTCACTTCCGTGTGCAGCTTATCGGTCAACGGCTCCACCCACACCTAGATAGTATAAACCACCGCGTCCATGCCACGGCTGCACGCCCTCTATGTTTTTGGTCCTACTCTTGAATTGCTCTTCGTGCCTCAACATATTCTGACAACAGAGGGAAATGGTCACTTTGTCCTTTGTGGTCTTGTAGCACTGGATGGAGCAAGCGAACTTCCAGTTGGAGTGCCCATTTGGCAGCCGTCCTATGTGCTACTCGGTCAACCAACGCGCTGCTTGCGTGAGCTCCCATTCCAGCTTGCGGCGCCATACTGCTAGGGGTCGCACAATTCTTGTCATAACTTTTGGCGCCCTCGTGCAGCTAGGCGTGCAAACAAGATGGCCCCACACATCGTTCCCACCCCGTCCTTCGGAGCCGTGTCCCTCGCGTATAACAAGATCTTGTTGACTGTCCATATCGGTCTTCTCGGCATACCGCACTGTTCTAGGTGCCCTGTCAGTATAATAAGTTAAGCCACGCTGCCCTTCCACCACTCTTACTACTTAGTGCTACTTCGTACTAGGCCGATTCAATCAACGCAACCCCATTGCCATATTCTGTGGGTTAAGCGGCAATTTCCCCGGCCTATAATGCATAAGCATTGGGGTGAATCCCGCCTTACAATACTTGAAAACGCCATTCTTTTATGATTGAAACGGTGACATACTCGGGCTATCCCATTCAGTGAGATCATTGGCAGTGGTGGTGGAATGAACGAGCACCAAAGACGGACAAAGATAGCTGCAAATTACAGTCCATTTTGTGGTAGCTCGAACAACGTATTGACCCAAAGACTCTGCCGCCATTGATCAGCTTTTGCCCATTGTGGCCGCACCGCTTTTGGTGAGCATGCGTTCCAGGGGCAAATTCCAATATCCTTTGGTAATGGGCACAGTTCAAATTGATGCTAAACACCTCACCTCACCCTTCCTTGCTGTACTTCTTTATCTAGTTGCCAGTATGACTCCACAACATCACACCCCATAATGACACACAATATTTTTGCACAAGACAAGAACTGAAGCAGCCACTTCTCAGCGACTGTTTTTGGGCTTGCATCCGACTGTACCTTCCACTGACCTCCTCTCAACACACGACGAAGTCCAACCTTCAGCAACTTCACATTCATTACACAACATTGGTGTCACAATCATGTCGCCGGCAGAAGCTGTGGACGAGGAGATGTTGAACGCGAAAGATGGTACAAGGTGATGGACTGGGACCACAAAGGCCACGAAAGGGTTTTTGCTTTTTCTGATTGTGTTTCCTGAGGTTGTCGTAAATGAATTTCCTTCCCCCGGGCTGGCTGGGCTGTGACTTGATGCCGCCCTTCAATGCAGTCTGCGGTGCAACCAAAGTCTGCACCATAGATCGAAGGCGCGGGTGGCCGCCATCATGCACCAGCAACGTCTTGGGCCGTCCTCCACGGCTCATGCCAACCGACAGCTCCTGCTGAGGCGTCACCATCCTCATCTCCTGATGGCATGTGTGAGTCTGTTGTGCGCATGCTTCCTTTGGTGTTAAAACACAAGTGTTAAGGCATGCAATGGAGTAGCCACTTCAAAAGCATCGCGAGCCACCGTTTCCAATCTTGAACTTGTTTCCGCCTCTGGCAGAGTCATTATGCGAACAACTGACCAGGACCACCGATCCAACTGATGCCTAGTTGGTCTGAAACGCCTCAGAAATGTGGAGATGTTACTGAAGAGTCGCTGTTCATTCAGAACTGGGTAACATTCCTGTTCACACAACTTCCACTGGGCATGTATGCAGGTCCAACCCATCCAAACTCCAAACAGCCAACACACTCCCGACACACTCCAAAGATAGGATTCACAGATGCAAGAATCTGGCACATGCCCGCACAAATTTTAAATATCCAACTCTGTCACCGACAGCGCAATGCACTCCAAGTACCAACACCAGCACAAGCACAAGCACGAGCGCTAGTACCATGCATCAACACAACTTGAGGAGCACCACACACGCATCAAGTAGCTCCCCCTCCCCTAGCAAAAACTGAGCACTCTTTCCACCAAAGAAGTTCGCAGGCTCAACTCGCCTTCGACACATCAACAACGGCGTGGACTAAATTCACAAAGTTATGTTCACCCGCCAACCGACTCGCGCGGGAGCGCCTGGCCCCGCCCTCGCTGCCGACGGGATTACAACGGTAGTACAAAGAGACGAGACATATAAAAAAACAAAGAATACAAATCGGTTTTGCACGATTTTCTTCTCAAGGAACACGTCGGCGCGTATCGAGACCGCGGCGGCCGGCCCGCCGGTGGGCCGCCGCCGCCCCAGCTTTCATTGAAACCACAGTCATCGTCATCGAGCTTCGTCAGTAATGCTTTCCGGCCGCTATGGAAAAAGGACAAAAAAGAATCGCGGGCCCGTGGGGAAGGGGCCCCCGCGACGCCCACCGCAAACCAAAAATGTGTGTCGCCACCCCGACACACACGCGCCACAAGGCTCAAGCTGTCGGCCCAGCACCACGCATTAACGCGCAAATGACCCTGACGGCTCATCGAGTGACCCAAACGGCCCAGCCCCGTCAGCCTGGGGCTGGGGCCTGTTGCTCGGCTGAACCCTGATGGGCGCGCAGGCCGAGCCCGGCTCGGTTCCACGCTCGAGGCCGCGTGAGCAATACACCCCCACAGTCTTGGGGCTGCTTGCGAGCCACCAGCAGCGCCGAGGCGCGATGCCCACCGCAACGGCCGCAGCACGACAATCGCCGCGCCGCGTGTGCCATCCCGGATCCGATGGGGCGCAAAATGCGCCGATCGGATGGGATCGCGTCTCCCGGCGCCGCCGGGGCCCTCAGCCGCGGTTGGTGATCCGGTACCGGGGCGCCACGGGCTTGATGACGGCGCCCCGGCGCACCACGCGACCCCTGACGGCCTTCAGGCGCAGACCCGAGTAGCGCAGCATCGCCAGGGTGCAGGCGGCCACGTGGGCCAGGTTCTCGAGGTACTCCTGTGCGGCACAGCAATCATCAAGGCCGATCAATTGCGTCGAGGCTGGGGGGCGGGGTGGGGTGGGGGGGGTGGGGGTTGGGGGGAACCCGCAGGTGGCCCGGGCCCTGCCCGCCTCGGTGCCTCACCTCGTCGGAGAAGACGGCGCATCCGTCGAATCTGCCGCATCGGGCGATCGGCGCCGGCCCGCGCGAGCACTCCTCGTCCCCGCCCGCCAGCTCCGCGTCCATCAGGTCCAGTTCGTGGTCGTCATTCACCCCCAGCCTGCGGCGCAGATCAGCGGCCCCTCAGCACGGCCCCACAGCACCATCCCCTTACATCCCAGCCCTCCATTCGCCGCCCCCGTGACGGGTTAGGCGATCCAATCCACCAGGGCTCACCGTCTGAACGGTCTGCGCCTCCCGCGGGTGCGCACGCCAAGCGTGTGGGACAGGCTGCTCGAGCTGATCGAGCGTCTGTCGCCCGTGGACCGGTCCGAACTGCCTGTCGAGTCCCGGTCGCAGGCCGGCATCACGTGCGGCGCCTGCCTGGCCGCCTCCCTGGGCGGCCCTGCCCCCCCCGCCTTCTGGCCTGGCATGTAGCCCTCGAGGTTGCGCTTGACCAGGTAGCGGGCGCCGCACGCGTTGCAGAGCACCGGCTTCTCTGGCGGGCCCTTGCGCCAGCACGGGCTGCAGGTCCGCCCGCAGTGGTTGCACGGCCCGCCACAGCCGCGGCGCACCTTGCCTTTCATTTCTCCCCTCCCCGGGATGCGGCCAGACGGCCGATCGCCCCGGAATCACGCCGCGAGGGCGCTCGCCCCCTCGGCGCCCAGGAGTGAGGGGGATGAATCTGCGCCGATCGGACGCAAGGGGAGGGCCAACGCTCGGAATGGCGCCGAGTGGAGCTCGGCGACGGGGCGCTGCGGCGGCGGTCGCTCCCGCCCCGGCTGGCCTGACTCCGGGCAGCGAACCTCGTCAGGCCGGGTGAACACCCGCTGCGTCCCACCCTTAGTCGGCCACGCCCTCAACCCCATGGCCGGTATCGGAAATATCGGAGCGGTATCGGAACTCCGCAGCCCGCCTGGGACGCCGTACGTTGGGCCCGGGGCCGGCCGTCACGTCTGCCTGGCGGCAAGGGGTCACGTAACGCGGCGCCCGCCGGGCCCTTTGGTGTGTAAAGGATTCGGGTGGCAGATCCGCAGACCCTGAGGCGGCCAATGGCGGCAGGGGGGGATCGGCGCCGATGCCGCGGCCCCGTCAGCCCCCAACCCTGGCCCCGGGAGCGGCTCGAGGTCGGAAATGCGCGGCGGGATGTGGCGCCCCCGGCGGAACCGTAGTTCCGGAAGGGCCGAAGGTGCAGGCTGGTCGTTCGCGGCCGCCTTCCGAGCGGGGGCGCGTGGCTGGCGTGGGGGTCGCTCTTCGCTTTCGCGTCACATTCGCTGCGACGCGGGTGAGGGAGATGTGCGGGGCGGGGCCACTCGACAGCGTCGAGATCTTGTGGTGGTGGTGGTGAGGTTGGGTGGGGGGGATGAAATTTGTCGCTCTGTCTTTTCCGTGAGGATCCCTTCTTATTCAACACCCTCAACCACTGACCCACTGAACCCATGTTGGCCTTGTCAATAAAAGAAGAAGGGGTCCTTATGGAAAATGACAAAGGGACCAATTTCCGCCGAGCTGGGCTCCTTTGTCCCGCCCAGGTCCACACACACATTGGACCAATACATTATAAAGACTAGTGTTTGTCCCAATACAACCCGAGGTCGCCACAACTTGTGTGCCCAGTCGCTTCACTAGTAGTTAAGCCAATCCCATACAAGACTCAACCTTTGAGTCAGTCCCATCCCTCCTCGTTTCCTCGTACTTAACTCCCACACTTGCCCATTACAACCGAACTTCACCCTAATAGGGAGGGCCGGGCGGGAAGCGAAACAAGATAGAGTGGGGACCGAGGGGTGAGCCTAAATAGCCTCCCCACTCACGCCTGGCAAAGCCCGTCACTCCCAAGGGCGCCAAAATC